CCGCCGAGGCCGCCGCGCTGATGTCACACGGAGCGAGCGGAGCGGGGCGGCAGCGGCGGCGGCACCGGGCGCCGCGCTGATGTCACGCGGAGCCGAGCGGAGCGGGGCGGCGGCGGCGCCGCGCTGATGTCACACGGAGCGGAGCGGGGCGGCAGCAGCGGCAGCGCCGGCGGCACCGCACTGGTGTCACACGGAGCGGGGCGGCGGGTGGCGGCAGTGCCGGGCGCGCGCTAACGCTCTCTCTCTGCTCCCTCCGCTGCCCGCGCCGCCTGTCTCGCCGCAATGATGAGGCAGGCCCCGGCGGCACGCAAGGTACAGCCCGCACCGTGCCGCGCCGTGCCGCGCGCCCCGCATGCCGCCCCCCGCGTCCCCACGTCCCGCCGCGGCTGCACGTTCCCGGCAGTGTTCCCGCTGCGGCCACCGCCGGGCCAGCCCCGGCCCCGCTGCCCTTGGGCTCCGCGGGCGGCGCCGCGCGCGGATGCTCCGTGCATGGGCTCTGCCCTGCGCTCCTGCGCTCTCCTCTTCGGTTATTTTTAGCATGACCAGGGCATTGCTGCTCGGCTTGAAGAGAGCAGCCTGGCAGATTTCTGCCCGGTCTCGGACAAGTGCAAATCAAAATGCCCAGGGGCACAAACGTGCAGCTTTGGCCGCGCTGCAGCACGCAGGCTTTGCAGTGCTACGTTGCAGTAAATGCAGCCGGGTCATGCCGCTGGCTGCCTGAGCTGACCAAGCGTAATGAAATCCTGGGTTATGGGCGAGTGCATAAAGAGTCGCTGCTGAATCCACTCCCAAAGGAGAAGCTCTGCAGACGCGCATGCTGGGGGGCAGCAGACAGGTGGGGGCAGCCCCGGTGCCCAGGGCACCTCCGAAACCTCCCACCTCTTCAATAACCGAGGCCCTTCTCCTGTCGCCGCCTTCCCTTCCTGCCTTCCCGGTGGTTCCTGCTGCAGGAAGGCTCGTGCACAAGGCCTCGCCCTTAAAAGAATATTTGGGATTTTCTTGTAAACGTACCAGGAACAAGACACGTGATGCGGCCCTTGGGAAGCAGATGGGCAGGGCAGCTGGCAGCTCCGTAGCTGGGAGCCCCGCGGGCACTGATGATGTTAACGGTGTCAACGGCAGCAGGTTGAGTCTGAGCGGCCTCCGCAGAAGGCTCAACTCTCCTCACCGACCAGGCGTCCGGCCGTGCCTGTGTGCGCAGGGTCCCTGCTCCCAGGATCAGCACCCCAGCTGTGCCCGTGTCCACAGGATCCCTGCTCCCAGGATGAGCACCACGACCGTGTCCACAGGATCCCTGCTCCCAGGACCAGGACTCTGGCCATGCCCGTGTGCTGCCAGGATCAGCACCCCGGCCACAGCTCCCTAGTGAGGACAGGCACTGCCGGGTGCCACGCAGCAGCCATAGGGAGCCACGTGTGTTGCCAGATTTCCTGCTGCTGGAGGAGAAGTTTCTATAGGAGCGAGTCTGTCGGGAGGCTCGGACGCTCCTGTGTTGGGTGCGGGTCCTTGGAGGAGCAAGGGTTACATCCTGCTGTCCAATGGCTGTGCCGCAGCATTACACAGAGCGCTCCTGACCCTCCACATCATAAAATATTCATGGCCATAATGGACTGGCACGGAGCTCTCGGGATGCGAGAGCCCCAAAGTGCTGGCGCGGGGCTCCTGCTGCTGTGCTGGGGCTGCGGGGCAGCCCGGTGCCAACCCCGCGCGTGATCCCGGAGCCAGGTCCCGGAGCCAGGGCTCCGCTCACACTGCTTGGGAAGAGCGTTTAACGACCCTCGTCGCTGGTGGGCTGGAGGGCTAGGAGCACGGAGGAGCATGGAGGAGTGCAAAGGAGTGGAGAGGAGCATGAAGGAGCACGGAGGAGCACTGAGGAGCATGGAGGAGCTTGGACGAGCAGTGAAGAGCACGAAGGAGCATGGAGGAGTGCAGAGGAGCAGAGGACCTCGGAGGAGTGCAGAGGAGCGGAAAGGAGCTCAGAGGAGTGCGGAGGAGCTCAGAGGAGCGTATGAACGTGGAGGAGCGGTGAAGAGCACAGAGGAGCTCGGAGGAGCTCGGTGGAGCGCAGAGTGTCTCTGCGCAGCCGCCTCTTTGGAGCCGCCCGTGGCTCTCGGCGCTGCACTGGGGCCCTGCTGCTTGGTGGTCGGAGCTGCCGCTGCCTGAGGAGACCGGATGGTCTGTCCTGCCTAATCCGGGCGGCTTTGCTCCCAGCTCCACAGCCCCTTCCCCGTCCCTTCCAGGGAGGGAGCACCTCAGAGCTCCCCTTAGGAGGATGAGGCTGCGCGGCGGCCGAGTGGGGCAAAGCCGGAGGAGCCTGGGGCCGTTGGGGCTCAGCAGCCCCTTCCCGGCCACCCCTCGCCGCCGGGCGTTCACCTGGCGAGGCTGGAGCCTGCGCTTGGACCTCTCACAAGCTCTGTGCGGCGTGGGGTGCGTGGGGACACGACGACGCTCTGTGTCCCGACGGAGCTGGCAGCAGAGGCTGCTGCGCTCGGCAGCGGTGCCGGGTGCCCCTCTACGCGGGCTCGGCTCCTTCGAGGGGCTCCTGGCAGTGCCCACGGCCCCGGCAGCGCTGCCCAGCATGGAGGGAAGGGAGAGCTGCTGCTGGGCCATCCCCGCAGGGCCCCAGGGTGCTGCGTGGCTTGGTCCCCTCGTAGCAGGACTGGGACGGGTGCTGGAGCTGCCCTGCCCGCGGGCCGGAGCGGTGCCTGCCCCGGCGCTGCCTTCCTGCTGCGGTCGGGCACGGCAGAGGAGGCCTCGGGAGAGCGAGAGCCTTCGCCCAGCGCTGGACGGGCCTGCCTGGAGCGCGGCCGCTCACGCCGCCGAGGGGCGGGAAGCCGCAGGCAGGAATCGCCCTGCGAAGTGATGCTCTGTTCAGCGCTGTCACCACAAGAGCAGCGGCGGCGGGGTCTGCGCCGGCGGCGGGGTCTGCGCCGGCGCCGCCGCTGAGGCCATCTGCGAGCACAGCCGTGCTGCGCCCGTGCTCCCGGCGGCAGCGAGCTCAGGACAGGCTCAGGACAGGCTCAGGACAGCCGGGCGCTGCTCCGGCTCTCAGCCCAAGTCTCCCAGGTCTCTGGGGAAGCCAGGGAGGCGCCAGGGCTGTGGCCGGGGCCGCGGCGCGCGCGGGAGCGGTGCTGGGCGCCGGGAGTGCGGGTGCCACGCGCGGCTCGGGTCCCGTGCGCACTAATCGCCCTCATGTTTTTGTTTCCTCTGCGCTCTCCTCTGCCGCACCCGCTGCTGCGCCGCTCGCTCTGTATCTCTGCTCCTGTCTTTCCTGTCTGAGCGTTTCTCCTGCTCTGCCCTCTGCTCCCGTCGTGCTGCAGACCACGGCCCGGCGGCCCAAGGTGAGAACCGCGGCGCTCGGCCCCGCTCGCTCGGCCGTGTGCCCAGGCGCCCCGTGTGCCGCTCGCTGCCCCGTGTGCCGCTCGCTGCCCCGTGCGCGCCTGGCAGTACCGTGACGCTGCCGGGGCCGTGGGGATGGCGCTGTCTCCCGTGGGCATGGTGACAGCCCCGTCACCGCGCGCTCCCCGCGGCGCCTTTGCAGCAGGGAGCGCGGCCGCCCGCTGCAGGAGAGGGGCGAGGCAGGAGACGCCTTTGGCTTCCACACCGCTGTTCTCTTGGCCTGGGCACCCCGGCGCGGGCTGGGACGTTCCCTGTGACATCTGCGCCCTGGCGCGTGGCACCGGGCCCGGGTGGCAGCGGGGCTGCAGTGCTGGCTGAGGAGCTCTGTGCTCTCCGCGTCTGCACTCGTCCCTGGTGCCGCGCGGGGCTGCCGGCCGTGCCGTCCTCGCGAGTGGCACTGCCGTTCTGCTGCTCGCGGCACGGGGCACCGGTGCTGCCGCAGGGCTTGCGGGAGGCTGCAGGGGTGGCTGCGCGTGGCAGTGGGGGCATCAGTCGCTACCCAGCCTGCAGTGCCCTTGGGGACGTCCTGGGGACATCTGGAGAGGCGGATCTCGCCCCGCGCCTGGGCCACTGGTGGTGCCCAGTGCGTCCCCGGCCTCCCTGGCACTGGCCACCGGGCTGCCCTGCCTGCGGCCACGTGGGTGCCGCCGCTCGCGGGACGGCACCGCCTGGGCTGCGTGCTGGCCACGCGGCCACTGGCTGACCCCGGGCGCGTGGCCGCCCGGCACAGGCCGTGCAAGGGGCAGCTCGTTTCTCAGCGGGCTTTCCTGGAATCACTACGGTCAAAAAAGGCCTTCAAAATCATTGAATCCCACTATAGATTTTGTAAGGATATGCAGGAGAAGAGCACTAAAATGAGAAGGCATGCAGACTCAGATTAACAGGTATTTAGGTACTTCCTGACTTTTCCACAGGTTTCCTGGAATAATGATTAAAGACAGTGTGTCCACCCTGTCTTCCCTTGGCCAGCCTGAGGTGCTGGCGCGTGCGCGGCTCCGGTCCCTGTGCCTGCGTGTGGCCGGCAGAGCCCTGTGACCTCCCGGCCGAGGTGGCCGTGGTGGCCGAGGTGGCCGAGGTGGCCGAGGTGGCCGTGGTGGCCGTGGTGGCCGAGGTGGCCGTGGTGGCCGAGGTGGCCGAGCGGCTCCTGCTCCCCGGCCACGTTTGGCACCTGGGGCCTTTGCCGCCCTTCTGGGTTTTGCTGCTCCGGGATTTCCTCCCGCTCTCCCCGGCAGCCCGAGCTGGGCCCAGGGCTGTAGCGGGGGCCACGGGGGCCGCTGAGGGCCCCCAACGGGCCGGCGTGGGCACCAGGCAGCGCGCCCGGGGGAGACGGAGAGCGGCTCTGGTGCGTGAGCCCCGCGGGGCCCTGCCCTGCCCGCTGCCCACCCCGCACACGGTGGCCCCGGGGTGCTGGCGCTGCCAGGGAGGCTCCGGCGCCCGCGGTCACGCTCCGGCTCCCGGGTGGGACGGCGCAGACCCCGGCACGGGGGGCACCTCCATGGCCGTGCCCGGACGCACGTCGGAGCGGCAGCGCAGGCGGCCGGGGCGGTGCAGCCCGGCCCGTGCCCGCGGGCGCCGCTCCGACCGCTCGCGCTCTCTTGCAGCCCACGCGGAGCAGCAGCTCGGCGGCCGGCAGCGCGGCGGGGCCCTCGGGCTCGGCCTCGGCCTCGGCCGGGGAGATGAGCAGCAGCGAGCCCAGCACGCCCGCGCAGACGCCGCTCGTGGCGCCCATCATCCCCACGCCCGCCCTGGCCTCGCCGCTGGCGCCTCCGGTGCCGTCGCCCACCAAGGTGAGCGGCCCCAGTGAGCCAGGGGCTCTGCCCACTGCCCAGGGAGGACGGGGCAGAGCAGCCAAAGCCCCGGGCCTGCAGGAGGGAGGCAGCGGGGCTTGGCCAGGGACAGAAATAGGGCCACGGCTCCAAACCCGCCACTGGTGGGTGCTGAGGCTGCCGAACTCGGTGCATGTTCTGCCTTCCCAGGTCCCCACGGTCACCCCTGGCCCTCGGGTGAACGTGGTGATGTTTGGGGCTCTGCAGCAGAGCCAGTGTCTGTGGGTTGGGTTTGGGGGTGTCCACACTGGGTGCAAGGACAGGCTCAAGGACGTCGTCCCCGTCACCCACCGGTGCCAGGCGGGCGGGAGCGGCCAGGGGCGCCCTGACACGCACAGACCCTCAGAGACATGCAGGCTTTCTGTAACTTGCCTGTTGCTAATAACCATTGGCACAGTTAATATGGTTTTGTTCTTTAAAACAGTTTTTCGTGACTTCCGTCCTGCTTTGTGTTAATTAGTGAAAATTAGAGCCTGTGAGAGATCTAGGGCATGGGGGCAAGGAGGTCGAGGAGCAGCCCGCGCTGCGGGGCGCTGGGTCAGGGCCCTGGGCACCGGCCAGGACACTGGGGAAATGCTGCCCAGTTTTTTGCATGCCACAACTCCATTCCGCTCCTAAATAGCAGGGAAAGGTGGATGTTGGAGGGTGGATTTGGGTCTGGTCTGGTTTACTCATGTATTTGGGGAGGTAAGCATGCCCGGGCACTGGGCACCTCTCGCAGGCAGTGCTGCCGCCCCTCGGAGCGGAGCAGCCCTCGCAGGGCCGGATCCTGGGCTGGGTTCTGAGGCTGTGCTACCTGTGCGTGACAGTAATGCGTCTGGAGCACCTTCCAAAGGCTCCTGCTGCTCCCTTGGTCATTCTTGTATCGCCTTGTAGGAGGAGGAGAACTTGCGTGCTCAAGTCAGGGACCTGGAGGAGAAGCTGGAGACTCTGAAGATAAAGCGAAATGAAGACAAGGCAAAACTTAAGGAGCTGGAGAAGTACAAAATCCAGCTGGAGCAGGTGCAGGAATGGAAAAGCAAGATGCAGGAGCAGCAGGCTGATCTTCAGAAGCGTCTGAAGGAGGCCAAAAAGGTGAGTGCTCTTGGGGGCTGCTGCTTGGCCTGGGAGGAGGCCAGGCGAGGGCAGATCCACCGGCTGCAAATCTGATCATATGGATTTCTTCTGGATGAAATATCATCCGCTGGCACTAAACTGAGCTCTCCTGATTATTGTGTTCTGGATAACGAGTAAATGGCCTCCTCCCTCACGTGGCACTGTGTCTGCTGTAAATGCTGTTGTGGGCACTGAGCTGCCGGTGCAAATGCCCAAGAGAGAGCGCAGAGCCGCCCGTGTCCGCCCCAGCCTTTGCCTGGGCTTTGCCGGTGCCAAGGGATGCCCGGGCTTCGGTGCATCCTGCAGCTCGGGTGGCCTTTTCCCTGCCGACACACAGCGCACCCGGAATTAATGCTGCACTGCGGCGATAGTCGGTGCCGGGCCGGAGCAGTGCAAGTGGGAGGTGGTTGGCTTCAGCAGAGGCACGGGAAGCTGAGGGCGAATCACACAGCCCTTGCAAGGGACAGGATGCTGCAGGTGGGTCTGCTGGTGTGTGTGCCCGTGCCCTCACGGCCGGAGCTGCCCACGGGCTGCTCGGGCCACCTTCACCTTCCACCCGTGAAGTGCCAGCAAATGACTTCCCAAATCAGTATATTGCAGCAGCGGTGGTGTTGGGAACACGGCTCCGCGTGGGCAGGCCTGCCGCGGCCGCCGGCGCAGGACGTGCTCCCTGCCGCGGCCGCCGTGTGAGCTCCGTGCTTGCGAGATGGGTCTGTCAGCAGCCGTGGGCTCCCAGGGCTCCTCACGGCTCTGTGCCTGACCACAGGAAGCCAAAGATGCCCTGGAGGCCAAGGAGCGCTACATGGAGGAGATGGCCGACACCGCCGATGCCATCGAGATGGCCACGCTGGACAAGGAGATGGCCGAGGAGCGAGCGGAGTCCCTGCAGCAGGAGGTGGACTCACTCAAGGAGAAGGTGGAATATCTCACCATGGACCTGGAGATCCTCAAGCACGAGATAGAAGAGAAAGGTGGGAGAGGGCGCGGGGCAGGGTGCGCTGGGCATGGGGCTGGCGCCGCGGAGCCGCCTGTCTGACAGTGGCAGTGGGATCGGGGCGTCCTCGGCTGCTCCCAGCTGCAGCCCTGCACTGCTCTGCACCTCTGCCCTGGCCAGGCACGGCGGGACCTGCACGGGGGCACGGGAGCAGCTGAGCCCTGTGCCCGGGGCCAGGCTGAGCTACCAACCCCATCGCGGAGCAGCAGTGCTGCACAGCGGCCCCGCGCTGGCTCAGCTGCAGCGGGGGGCTCATCCCTCGCCCTCTGCAGCTTAGCTGTGCTCCTAATGGTGTCTGCAGTGTCGCTTGGTGCTGAGGGGATGGATCTGGGCAGCAGCTGCTGTGTCTGAGTGATGCCTCCTTTCCCCAGGCTCAGATGGAGCAGCGTCCAGTTACCAGGTCAAGCAGCTGGAGGAGCAGAACGCGAGGCTCAAGGAAGCTCTTGTAAGGTAGGAGGCACCTGCGGAGTGCGAGCTGCTGCTCTGGTGCCAGCCCGTGCCGGAGCCCAGAGCTCCTGAGCGCAGCATGAAGGCTGTTGAGCGCCCCTGGGCTCTCAGAGCTCTGTGCTCCTCTCTGTGTCCCGGCCTGCAGGGACTTACACAACATAGAGGAGCCCCTTGTTAACGGAGAACAATGTATGGAGGGAGCAAACGAGCCCCTGGGGGAACTTTGTGCCCTATTTCCTTTCTCGGTGTGTGCAGCACTGCGCTTCCCAGAGCAGCACGGTTCTGTGCTGCAGGTTTGTGGAAGCTGCCTGTGTAGCATCACTCTGCAGACACATCCCAGCCTGAGGCTTCCTGCCCAGACTGGTCGGTGCCTCTCTGTGTGTCAGGGCACGTGCCAGGGCCCTGGGGCTCTTTTTTTCCTGAAGCCACATGTCCCCCAGCGCGGCGGATGAGGTGCTGCTGGTGTCGCAGCTGCTTCCCCCGGGCCCCGGCTCGGTACCATCCCCGCGCAGTGACATTCATCATCTGTGGGCAGGAGCGGGTGACGGAGGAGCAGGGGTGGCCTCGCAGGCCCTGCGGATACAGGGCACCGGCTGCTCTGCAAGGACCTGCGAGTGTTTGGCAGAGGAAGTTTAATGAAACTTCTGAGGGAGAGAAACTCCTGGCCCTTAAGGTTTACGGCAGAGGAACCGTGCGATCCGCTCACAGAGGCTGCACACACGAGCCCCGTCTCCCTGCCGGGTGAAGCCCCTGCCCTTGCCTGGGCCCTGGCCTTGGCTGCCTCCCGCTGAGCCTCTGTCTCGTGCTGTGAAGGACCACAGATGTGTCTGTCTCTGCTCGCCTGGTTCGTCCTGCCTCCCTCTAAGCCGCCCCGTTTACACTCGCTCTTCCCCTGTCTCAGCCGTGCTCTCTGGGCACGTTCTGCCACTGTCTCCCTGTCCCGTCTCTGGCACCGTCAGAGGAAGGTGCCATTGCAGGCCGTGGCCCTTGTCCCTTCCTCCCGCTTCCCTGGCTGCTCTCTGGGGACGTTGCTTGTGTCTGCCCCGGGGGACGGCGCCCAGCTGCCAAGGCAGGAGGCTGCCAAGACCCGCGGGGCCCGGGGCAGCCACCCCCAGGGGCGGAGGGGCAGCCCCTGGGTTCACTTGCAGACCACCCATTTTTATTAGAGGTGCGAGCAGTGTGTCCCTAAAATGTGTGAGCTCGGCTCGAGCACCCTGCACACCTCTACATTCCCACTGCGAAGCTTGGAAAGGGCCCTTTGAAAGTCACTTTTTGGACTAGCTCGTGCCAAGGCCACCTGAGGAGAGGGGTCTTGGCCCCGCTCGTGGGACAGGCCACTGAAGAGCGATGCTGGGGACAGGAGTGGCCTCGGCCGCTGCAGGAGCTGTACTGAGTCTGGTTGCTCTGTCTAAGGATGAGGGACTTGTCGGCGTCCGAGAAGCAGGAGCACGTGAAGCTTCAGAAGCAAATGGAGAAGAAGAACACGGAGCTGGAGTCCCTGCGGCAGCAGCGGGAGAAGCTGCAGGAGGAGGTGAAGCAGGCGGAGAAGACGGTTGATGAGCTGAAGGAGCAGGTGAGCGCGCCGGGGAGGCGGCTGTCCCGCGCGGGGCTGCAGCTCCTGCCCTCGCTCCTCGGGCCATGCTGCAGCGGGCACTGGTGCCGCGGGGCTGTGGGCAGCCGCTGTCGGAGCCTGGCCTGGCCTTTGTGCAGGGGGCTCTTGGAACTGATACCTGTTCATATGTAGTCTGCAATGCCCATGTCCCCGTTAGTGTGGTGAGCCCATAGCCGCTCCCATGGGAAGCACAGGGAGCCTGGAAAGCCCTGTAGGCAGTTTGCAGAGACTCAGCCTAAAGGTCAGCCTCGTTTGCACTGACCTGAAACAGTTGGACATCACCCCGTGACGCTGCAGCTAAAGACACTGTAATGACTGCAGGAGCCAAAGCCTGGCCGCTCTCTTGCCCTGGCCTTGGCTTGCGCTGCTGCTGGACGCGCTGCTGGTAGCTCTGGGTTGTCGCTTCTTGTCCTGCTGGGTGTTGTCGCTTGGAGGGAGCCCATGTCCTTCCTCCCAGAGCAGGCACCTCGGGCTGTGGAGAGGGATGTCACTCGTGTCCCCGGCTTGGCACGGAGGTCCTGCTGGGATGTAAAGGGACTTTCAAAGCAGCGCTTTGAGAGCCGGGCTGGACCGGGCTGTGCTGTGTGCCTGCAGGTTGATGCTGCTTTGGGTGCCGAAGAGATGGTGGAGACTCTGACAGAGAGAAACTTAGACCTGGAAGAGAAGGTCCGGGAGCTGCGCGAGACCGTCGGAGACCTGGTGAGACGGGTGGAGGAGGCCGCAGAGCTGCCTCGGTGCTGCAGCGTGGCCACGCTGGGCCGAGGGGGTTCTCCTGGCCGCGGGGGAGCAGAGGCAGCGCCCAGGGAGCCCCTGCAGCGCCGTCCCGCTCGGGGCCGCGGCGCCGTCCCGGCCCCCGTGCCCGCGGAGCTGTGCCCGGGCACCCTGCGCCCTGCCCGGGGACGGCCGCGCCGCGCGCCCCTCCGCGCCCCGGTGACTGCGTCCCGCCGCCCTTCCTTCCCCGCAGGAAGCCATGAACGAGATGAACGACGAGCTGCAGGAGAACGCCCGCGAGACCGAGCTGGAGCTGCGCGAGCAGCTGGATATGGCAACGGCGCGGGTGCGCGAGGCCGAGAAGCGCGTGGAGGCCGCGCAGGAGACCGTGGCTGACTACCAGCAGACCATCAAGAAGTACCGCGAGCTGACTGCGCACCTGCAGGTAGGGCCGCCGGCGGGGAGCGCCTGGAAGCTCGAGGGCCCTGTGCCGGGCACCGCGTGGCCTCCTCGCGGCGCCGGCACTGCCAGGGCCGCAGCGATGCCCTGCGGAGTGGGCTCTGCGCTGGCCTGTGCTGAGGACGTGTGACAGTGCCGGTGCTCGAGCTGCTCGTGACCCGCTCCTGCCCGCGTGCGGATGGTGCTGGTGGGCTGTAGGCACCCCGAGGTGGTGCTGTAAAGCCCTTCTGAACACGTGGGTGCTGCCCGTGCTGCGGCCTCGGGAGCTGGGTGCTGCGCAAGGCCGCCTGGCCGGGCTCTTCCAGCGCCGCTCCCGGTTCCCCTTGGCTTTGCCGGCGGTACCAAATAGATGGATAATAAGTCCACAGGGATTCCTGGCCTAGTGCAGCGGGCCGCGACCCGAGGTTTGGGACGGGCTGGTGCTTCTCTTCCTCGTTTTCATCCTGTGATTCCCTCACAGCACAGGGAGTCTCCGTCCCCAAAAGGGACATCGGGCACCAGCTGTGGAGGTGCTGCAGAGCACGTGGGGTCGCGGCTCTCCCTGGTGCTGTTCCAGCTAAACCCTCCTAATGAGAGCCTCTTCCCGTGCGCAGGACGTGAACCGCGAGCTCATGAGTCAGCAGGAAGCTTCTGCTGAGAAGCAGCAGCAGCCTCCCCCGGAGATGTTTGACTTCAAGATCAAGTTTGCTGAGACGAAGGCGCACGCCAAGGTAGGCGGGCAGCAGAGCCGAGCGTGTGCGCGGGCTGGACGCGGCTCCTCTGCTCCTGGGCACCAGGACGTGGCAATGGGACGTGGACAGGCCCACGAGACTGCGGGCGCCAGTGCCAGGGTAGCTCCGAGCGGCCGGGTGCGGAGGCTGGCGCGTGGGCACAGCGCTCTGCTTGGGCTGGTGACGTGCAGGGCGGCTGAGGTGACTGCGGGCTGTAGGATGGGGTGCCGAGAGTCGCCAGGCACCACGACAGGGTCTGAGCCCGGTTCCTGCTGAAGCACAAGGGTGAAGTCAAACAGAGCAAGGTAGAACTTACTGACACACGTTGCAGTAATTACAGCTCGGGCGGGAGCCTCCAAAAGGGACCCTCCTGAGCAAAGAAGTCCCTGGGCTGTTGCACCTTCATGCTGCACATTCCCCACCTGGCACACGATGGTTCCGACCAATGGTTGTATTTGGGCCTCAGGTCTCCCTGTTCTTCTCTGGGGCCTGTTATTGTATCCTGAGCTCCTGATGAGGAGGAGGTAGTTCAGACCACAGCAGTTAACACTGTTCCGCAGAGAGAAAGGGCCTTTGTCTCTCAGGGCCTGCCAGGAGGGTCCTGATGCCCGGGCAGCCTTGTTGCCAAGCCCTGATGCCCTCCCTTTGGGGTGAGGATCACAGGGGTGCAGCCTGCTAGTTGCAGCCTGCGGGTGAGTGGGTGTCTGCAGATCCCTCCAGTCCAGATCCAGCCGTGCTCCAGCTGTGCTCCCTGCAGCGGGAGGCGGGAAGGTGCCAGCGTGTGGTGGAAGGGCCAGCGCTGGCTCTGGAGGGGGTGCAGGGGCCGTCATGGGGCAGGGAGGTTCCAGCAGGATGGAGCCGCCTCTGCCTCTGCTTCTGTGGGGTTCACGGGCCAGCAGGTTGGCACGGGCCTGTGCAAGGGCCAGCGGGTTGTGCAAGGGCCAGCGGGGTGGCTAGCGGGTCGGCAGGGGCCTGTGCGAGGGCCAGCAGGTTGTGCAAGGGCCAGCGGGGTGGCTAGCGGGTCGGCACGGGCTTGTGCAAGGGCCAGCGGGTTGTACAAGGGCCAGTGGGTTGGCACGGGCCTGTGCAAGGGCCAGCGGGTTGTGCAAGGGCCGGCGGGGTAGCTAGCGGGTCGGCAGGGGCCTGTGCGAGGCCCCGCTCTGCTGCTCGCCCAGCTGCGCCCAGCGCGCTGAGGTTTCCCGTGGGGATGGAAGGGAGCAGCGGTGCCCGCGCCCGCGCTCGGCTGGCGGGTGCCGTGCGAGCCGGGCAGGACAGGCAGCCCGCGGGGCCGGGGCAGCGGCTTTGCTGAGAGGAACCCCGGCCTTGTGTTGGCTGCTGCGCGGGAGCGGCTGTTTGGAGCAGCGCTGGCAGCGGCAGCGTTGTTGGCTCGCGCTGGCGGGAAGCCGGGGCGCTCGGGCACCCGTGCTCTGGCCTCCCGGGCTGCATGGGTGCAGCACGCAGCGTGGGCAGGGCGGTGGCAGCGTCCCCACCGCCGCGCTGAGCCGCGGCCCCGCGGCCCCGCTCTCGCTCCCGCAGGCCATCGAGATGGAGCTGCGGCAGATGGAGGTGCAGCAGGCCAACCGGCACGTCTCCCTGCTCACGTCCTTCATGCCCGACAGCTTCCTGCGCCACGGCGGCGACCACGACTGCGTCCTCGTGCTGCTGCTCATCCCGCGGCTCATCTGCAAGGTGGGAGGGCGCCCGGGCCCTGCACGGCCCTGGGCGCTGCCTGGGGAGGGGGCGCGCGGCGGGGTCGGCACAGACTCTTCCTGCAGCTTTCCCTGCCTCCCGAGCTGGGCTCGTGGGCCTTGCAGTGTCACCTCAAGCGCCCCGTGCCCTCTGGAGGCACCAGGGGCTGCATGACAGCCTGGCAGGAGATGTTTTCATTCCTTTATGCCCCGGGTGAATTGGCAATTTTGAATATTTCCTTGCTGACACACTTCCAAATGACGGGGAGGGCACGGGGAGGGGGAAGCAGCAGCGCCGGCCCCAGCCCGCGACGGATGAGCAGTGGGTCGAGCTGGGTCAGGCAGGGTGGGCACCGAGCCCTGGCTGCCCTCAGCACTGCCGGGGCCGCCACTCCTGCCACTTGTCCCCCTTATCTCTGTGCACATCTCGGGGGTGTGCGGCCGTGGCTGCGCTGTGCGCAGGCGGGAGGGCACGGGGGAAGGTGTGAGCGCCCGCCCTTGCCCCGCAGGCCGAGCTCATCAGCAAGCAGGCGCAGGAGAAGTTCGAGCTGAGCGAGAACTGCGCGGAGCGCAGCGGGCTGCGGGGCGCGCCGGGCGAGCAGCTCAGCTTCGCCGCCGGCCTCGTCTACTCGCTGAGCCTGCTGCAGGCCACGCTGCACAAATACGAGCAGTGAGTACGGCCGGGGGCGCGCGCCGGGCGGCAAGGAGCCCGGGGCTCCCCGCGTTGCCTCGGCCCCTCTCCTGCCCAGAGCTGGGGTGCAGGGGCCCAGCGCCCCAGCCTGGGCTGCTCGTTGCGCGGCCGTGACCGGCTCTCGAGGCCAGCAGCAGCCCTGGCACGTCGGTCTGCCCTGCGGTCCTGCCCGGAGATGTGTCACGCTCTCCCACACTTAGTGTCACACTTAGTGTCTGGGACTCCTGCCGGGCTCCAGGCTGCGGGAGCCGAGTCCCTCCGCAGCCCAGGGCCCTCCTCGTGAGTGCCCAGAGCTTAGTCATGTTTTACGGAGTGTCCAGGAGGAATCTAAGTGCTTGATTAAAATGATCCCGTCCCCGCCAATGCCATGACAAGAGCAAGCACAGGAAGGCATTTCCAGCCTTCTGCAGAGGCTGGAATTCCCTTGGAGAGCAGAAGTGCTGCTCCAGGGAGCATAATCACTGCGAGCGCTGCTGGGTTTGCTGCCCAGGAGCATGGAAAGATGCCCTCGCTGCTGCAGCAACGTGGCCGGGGAGCTCCTTACGTGATGTTCAGTGTCACAGGTGCAGGATGGCGACTCCCTGCCCCCAGCGCTGGATTCTGGCTCACAGAGTCATAGCTAGATGCCTGCAGTGCTCTTCTGCTCTGTTCCCCTTCCCTGCAGCCCCCCAGTTTCATGCGCTGCTTTCCTGCAGATGTCCTGACCTCCAGCCATGCTTCCCTGCTGCTGGGGCCCTGCGGGCCGTGCCCGGCCATGGGCACCCCGAGCGAAGCCCCGCGCTGCTCCGGCCGAGCTCTTGCCTCTTCCAGGTGAGCTCGCCGTGTCTGCGTCTCCTTGCAGGGCCCTGAACAAGTGCAGCGTCGAGGTGTACAAGAAGGTGGGGATGCTCTACCCCGAGATGAGTGTCCACGAGCGCTCCCTGGACTTCCTCATCGAGCTGCTGCACAAGGACCAGCTGGATGAGACGGTCAACGTGGAGCCGCTGACCAAGGCTATCAAATACTACCAGGTAGGGCCTGGGCAGCCAAGGGCACCGACGTGGCGGCGCTGCCCACGGGCAGGGCATGGACCTGCTGCGTCTCTGCAGCACTGCAGCACTGCAGCCACTGCAAGTCGTGCCCTTGGATACCGTGTTCACGTGGCACGTGTTCACATGGCACGTGTTCATACCGTGTTAATGTATCACGTGTTCATACCGTGTTCACGTGGCACGTGTTCATACCGTGTTAATGTGGCACGTGTTCATATCATGTTCACCCGGAACATTGGGAAGCAGTCAATAAACCCTGGGATAGCGACTCCCTTTGCCTGCTTTTCACTTTCTGAGTGTGCAGGACTTGTGCCTATGGCTCTGGTGCTCAGAGGCTGCGTCCTCTGTTCCTGGGGACAGAGAGGGAGGCTGAAGGCAGAAAAAAATACAATTTTTCTGCACTTGATTCCTGTACTAGGAAGTCGAGGCTGTTGGCCTTGTAAAACTAAGGGCACCAATGCTCCCCTAGAGGACAACAGCAGCAGACCAGGGAATCTGCTCAGGGTATCACTGCAATTGCAAAGAGGCCAAGCTTCCCGTGTTCGTTTTGCTCTGTATTCCTTGCTTTGGTGGTTTGTTGGGGTGGGTGGCGGCGTTTGAAGGGTGCTGAGCTCTGCCGCCCTGTCTCTCCTCCTGCAGCACCTCTACAGCATCCACCTGGCTGACCAGGCTGAGGACTGCACCATGCAGCTGGCCGACCACATCAAGGTGACGTGCAGCAAAATAACGTGATAACTTGCCTCTTTTTGTTGTGCATTTTCTGCCTTTTTGTCTTTCGCTCCCCTGAGATTGTTCTGTGAGTGGAAGCACTTCTGCCCTCGCTGTTGCAGTTGTGTTTTCTCTCACACCCTTGGGTGTTGTGTCACATAAGTGATGTGGGTTCCCTGGTTAGGGAGAGGGGAGAAAGAGGTGAGGCATTTGCCCTGCAGACAGCCAGGTGAGCAAGAAAGAAAAGCAATAGGGAAAGCGCTGGGAGGTTTGTGCCCGAGGGACACGGGGGCCTCTCCTGCGCCCTGGGGAGGCAGCACCGGCTGGTGCCCCAAGGAGCAGAACCACTGCTGGGTGACCAGGAAAGCCCGGCTCACGGTGCCGCCTTTGTGCCCGCAGTTCACGCAGAGCGCCTTGGACTGCATGGGCGTCGAGGTGGGCCGGCTGCGCTCCTTCCTGCAGGTGGGTGCTGGCACCGCCGCGGCCCCGCGGCCGAGCCCGGGCGCAGTGCGCGTGCCCAAGGCGCTCTCTGCTTCCCAGGCTGGGCAAGAGGCCTCCGACCTGGCCATCCTGCTCAAGGACCTGGAGACGTCGTGCAGCGACATTCGCCAGTTCTGCAAGAAGATCAGGCGCCGCATGCCAGGCACGGACGCTCCGGGCATCCCCGCGGCGCTCGGCTTCGGGCAGCAGGTGAGCGGCTCCGGGGGCTGCCCTGCCCGGGCTCCCGCGGTGCTGCTGGAGCAGGGCTGGCGCTCACGGGACGCGCGGGCGCTGCAGGGGCACGGCAGCCTCGGCCGTGTTCCCGCCTGGCTGGGGCGTCCCCAACGAGCTCGTCCCGCAGGTGTCGGACACGCTGCTGGAGTGCCGCAAGCACCTCACCTGGGTGGTGGCCGTGCTGCAGGAGGTGGCCGCCGCGGGCGCCCAGCTCATCGCCCCACTGGCTGAGAACGAGGGCCTGCAGGCCCTGAAGCTGGAGGACTTGGCCTTCAAGGCCAGCGAGCAGGTGGGGACAGGCCCGGGGCGCCATGGGCTCCGTGCCCGGCTGCGGGGCGCCCGCCAGCGCCTCCGTGTCCTCCGCAGATCTACGGTGCCCAGGGCATCAACCCCTACGAGTGCCTGCGCCAGTCGTGCAGCATCCTCATCGCCACCATGAACAAGATGGCCACGGCCATGCAGGAGGGCGAATACGATGCTGACAGGCCCCAGACCAAGGTAGGCTCTGGCATGGCAGCAATTCCAGGCAGTCCCACAGATCGCTGCTGACACGGGCTGCTCTTTGCACGGCCCCGGTGCCGGCTGGTTTCCCCATGGGCAGGCGCCTGCCCACAGAGCTGCGGGATTTAGGGGGTCCCAGGAGGGTAAGTGTGCAGGGTGACGGCAGAGCTGGGGTGCTGGGCACGGTGCTCACACGGGGAGGTCCTCGTGGCTTTGGAAGAGGGGACAGCGAGGGGCTGCCCGAGGCCCTGGATCTGCCCACTCATCCTAGCAGAGCTCCCTGCGCTGCCTGCACCCTCAGGCCGTGTGTTCTGGTAGGGCCGAGGCTCGGGGAGCCGCAGGGGGTGCCGCACGTCCCGGGGGGCAGGGAATGGTCCCCCAGTGGCTGAGCGAGCGTGGCGCTGCTGCCGGGCTTCCCTGTGCAACCCCGACTGTCTCGCTGTCGCTGTGGCCTCGTGCAGCCCACGCCGCCGGCCGAGCTCCGCGCAGCCGCTCTGCGCGCAGAGATCACCGATGCCGAGGGGCTGGGGCTCAAGCTGGAGGACAGGGAGACGGTCATCAAAGAGCTGAAGAAGTCCCTCAAGATCAAGGTAGGCGGTGGAGCCGCGCGGCGGGCGCTGCGCTGGCTGCCGGAGCCGCCGCGGTCGTGGCGCTTTGCAACCCCGGGCGGATCTGCTGATACTGCTGCCACGTGGCCCGGGGTCTCCCTGCTCGGGACCGTCCCGGCCTTCCCGCCGTGCTGTCCTGGGCCGGGGAGGTCGGCGCTGGGCGCGCGGGAGGCCGTGGAGCACACGCGGTGTCCCTGGGGAACGGGCGGCCGTCGCGGGCGGGCTGCCCCCGCGCTGCGGGACCCACGCGGCACCCCGGCCCCAGCGCCCGCCTGCCCTCCCGTGCCGCAGGGCGAGGAGCTCAGCGAGGCCAACGTGCGCCTCAGCCTCCTGGAGAAGAAGCTCGACAGCGCCTCCAAGGACGCTGATGACCGCGTGGAAAAGATACAGACCAAGCTGGATGAGACCCAGACGCTGCTCAAGAAGAAGGAGAAGTGAGTGTGAGCTGGGCGTGCGGAGCTGGCGGGCTGCGGAGAGACCTCGGTGCAGACCAGCCCACCTGCCCTGGCTGGAGCCTGGAAGCCCTGTGGGTTAGCAGGAGATGAGCAGAGGGACCAGGAGGTGCTCATGGTGCACAGCAGGGCCCAGGGTGGGAGCAGGAGTCCCGGGAGAGCCCCGCTCCCGTGCTCTGTGTGGAAGCTTTGTTCTTTGCACACTTTCCCAGTTTGCTGCCAGGGTCTCTCCCCCCGGCACCCGGCTGACGTGCAGGGAGTGCAAAGCTGCAGGGTGGAGAGAGGCAGGACTCTCCTGCAGGAACCTTGTGGGCTGCTGGGCTCAGCACTCATAAATGCCTCCTCTGGGCGTGATGCTGCAAGCCACAGCAGGAGCTGCCGGGGCTCCAGAGCCTGGAGCTGCGGGGTTTGTGCTGGGGGTTGGTCAAGGGGGTGCCTGGTGGCACCACATCCCCATCCTGAACTGCCCGTCTCTCCCTGGGAAGGGGCATCTCCAGTTAGCCCTGTGGCTCTGTTCCCTCCCGCAGGGAGTTTGAAGAGACCATGGACGCCTTGCAGGCAGATATCGACCAGCTGGAGTCAGAAAAGGTGGAGCTGAAGCAGCGCCTCAACAACCAGTCCAAGAGAACCATCGAGGGCCTGCGTGGCGCCCCGGCCTCCGGAGTGGCCTCCATCGTGTCTGGCATCGCAGGAGGTGCGGGGCAGTGCCCAAAGCACCGTGGGTTTCAGCAGCTCCTAGGGCGCTGCGGGCTGCAAAGGGAGCCTGGGGCCTCCTCTCGGCAGCACAGAGGGATGGCAGGGCTGGTCTACTTGGGGGACCCTGTGGGGCAGCCCCACATCCTGCCCGGCCTTCCTGCCGAGAGGCAGAGCAGCCCGAGGGGCAGGGCCCCGCTGGGCTCGTGGTGAGGAGCGGGCAGTGCCACGAGCTGCAGCGCCTGCAGCGCCTGCAGCGCACGACGCGGGCGGCGGTTCCTGCCCGGGGCTGCCCTGGGCGCCCCGCGAGCACCGCGCAGCGGAGCAGACCCCGAGGGGTCCAGCGGCGGCCGCGGAGCCGGTGCCCGGGGCCCTGGGAGCCCTGGATGGGGCTCAGGCTGGGGACGGAGCAGGAGCCGGCGCAGCCGGAGGAGCAGCCGGGCCCTGGGGGCGAGCGGGCGCCCGGCACAGCCCGCGGCGCTGCGGGACCCCATGGAGCGGGTGCTGCAGAGGGGCCGGAGCCGCTGCCCCGGGCTCGGCGCCGCGCACGCCCGTGCCCAGCCTTAACTCTGCTCTTCTTGTCTCTCCCGCGCCGCGCAGAGGAGCCGCAGCGAGGTACGGTCCTGCACGGGCACGCGCGCTCCCAGCGCCAGCCGCAGCAGTGCATGCACGCAGGGAGCGAGGCCGGGCTTGGCACAGGGGGCTGCACTGGCCCCGTCCGCACCTCCCGGGGCAGGGCACGGAGCATGAACACGCCGCGGTGCCCGCCGAGCAATCCCGGCTCCGCAGGGAGCGGGAAGGCGCAGTCCCCGGCGCGGGCGCTGCATGCGGCGCTGCATGCCATGCGGTGCTGCCTGGCATGCTGCCACGCTGCATTGTGGCTCCAGCCCCGCGGGCGCCTCACGCCGCCCTCGTTGCAGGTGTGGGCGCCGCGGCAGCGCCCGCAGGCGGCGCGGGGCCCGTGCAGGTGAAGGACTCGCCGCTGCTCCTGCAGCAGATCGACGCCATGCGCCTCTCCATCAAGCACCTCAAGAACGAGAACAACCGGCTCAAGGTGAGGCCGGGCACGGGCGCTGCCGCGCGGGGCGCTCTGCGGAGCTGCCCGACACCGTGGAGCGGCCCCCACGCAGCCCCGTTGGGGCCGGGGCCACCCCACAGCGCACAGAGAGGCCGCGGGGCCCGCCGCCCTCCTGCTGCCTTTGGGCCCGGGCGTCCGGGCTGTCGCCCCTGTCGGCTCCGCGCTCCCGGGCCTGCGAGATCCTCCGTTCTTCTTACACTGATTTTAGAATCCTGTGCCTTGTTTTTTCCCCTATTTCTTCTCTTGTTTGGGTCGGAGCCCTCTTCTCCTCTGCCCTTGGGCCTCTGTCTGCGCTCAGGCCGCTCCTGAATGAAGGGCCTGCCCCTAATCCCTCCTTCCCGCTGCTCGCAGGGAGCCCAGATGAAGATGGAGCTGGCGGGACTGGCGCCCCTGCACGTGCCCAAGCTCTCGCTGCCCAAGGACAGACAGGGCGAGGAGGTGGCCTCGGGCAGCCTTTACCGCAAGACCAGCCAGCTGCTGGAGACGCTGCACCAGCTGAGCGCCAACGCCAGGGTGGTGGACATCACCCGCAGGAAGGCGGGTAGGGCCCGCGCGCGGCGAGGACACGGGGCGACAGCGGCCTCCCTGCTGCCCATGGGTGCTGTTTGGGGCCTCCGCGGCCTCCCTGCCTCCCGCGGGCAGCGTTTGGGGGTGTGCAGCCTCCCTGCTGCCCACGGGCGGTGTTGGGGACCGGGGTGGTGCTGACCAGGCAGGCAGGGGTGGCAGCCAGTGCTGCAGGGCCACACGGCGCTGGTGTCATTGTCCCCTGCCCATGACCCCTGTCCCCAGCAGGGAGCCCGGCCGCGCGGCTGCTGGAGCAGACGGCCCGTCTCAAGGCGCTCAGCGACAGCATCGACAAGCTGCGGGTAAGGGGCTGCGCTGCGGGTAAGGGGCTGCGCTGCGGGGAAGGGGCTGCGCTGTGGG